AAAAAAAAATTCCCACATATAAGTACCTGTAGGTTTAATATTCCTAAATACAGCTTAGTTACTAAGCTTGATAAATTATAGTGGAATTCTATGGTATTGATATAATAATTTATGATTTTTTGGTTATTCAACTGTATATATAAAACCTAAAAAAATTATTTTGTTTCATATCTTCCATGTGCAAAATTTTAAAATGCTAGCAACCTACATCAAGCAGCAACCGAGTACAAAGGTCATAACTAGAAGAGATAATTGTTTACTTTACTTCTTTATTTATCATTCTTTGTTTTAAGAAAAAATAAGTTTAAGAGCTTATTTCTAAATAGCAATAATCTATATACATATATAATGTATAATAATTGAAATCCGACTGTATCTTACAAAATGCTAGTCTACTAAAACACAGCCAAGACAGGTCACTTTGTAAAGACTAAAGGTCAGTTTTATGTTATTGGATATGGTAACATGAGTGTACGTGCACTGCATCATTGTAACTTCTGTATTGTTAGCCAGGCATGGCTAAGTGGTCAATATAATAAAAATAATAAATATATATAAATGTATAATGTTATGAGATTTAAGCTATTTAGTCTAAACAGTTATGTTTTCGTGTTATAATGTGTGTTCATTCTAGACATAAAAAGGCATAATTTATATATTTATTTCCTAATTCTTTTTACAGTGGTTAAGAGATTGGTCAAATCAACCAAACCTGTATAGAGATTCGTTACTGAAAATAACATAAAATATAGTTTTTTCTTAAGAAATGTTTGATAACTATCTGGACACCATAAAGATTTCGCATGTAAAATTTGAAAATTTTCTGATGCACAATAGTATTTTTAATTTTTGCATGTTGAATAGGCAACATGTGAAAAGACAAAAAAAGACATGAGAAAAACATTGCTTTACAAACCTTAAGACTTAATAAAAAAAGTTGATATTTTGCATATGAAAGCATTGTAATGTTTACTGATAATCTGCCAAATTTCATAAACATGCATTTACTAATTTAAATGTTGTAGCATGAAAACTATAACAAGCACAAAATGGTTACGAGGGTGGTCCCAGAGACCGAGCCCGTGCTGAACGAGTTATACAGCGTTTTGTCAGGCATGGAGTTTCATCAAAGTATCCTAATATTTCAACTTAATTTTCCTAATCTTTCACTCTTTGGATGTTTTAAAATGTTTTCATCAAGATCTAGAATTTTCTTATGTTTCTTTTAAATTCTTAAATTCTAAATGATGATGCACAGTCAAAACTTGACAACAATTTCAAAGGTGATCAATTTATAGCAAATTCCTAAGTAATTTCCTCACAATCTTTTAATAAGTCAACTATACTGGATTAGGTGGTTATATTACAAGTTATAACAATTATGTATGCTTCATAATAGATGACAGTTTATGAAACATCACAACAATACAACTCTTACTAAATTATTTTAAACACATATTCTGCTTACAAGTTTACCTGTTCAATAGCTGTATGAGGAAGATTTCTTCTGATTAACTTCAAAACTTTTCCCACATGTGTGACTGCTGATCTTGCCAAAGATTTAAGATCTTCCGTCATGGATGATAAGATGTATGCACGTCGCTTATGGACACTTAAAAGGAGTTGTAACAACATACGTCGACATCTGTTGTGACTGGTTTGTAGGTTTATTAAAATCTTATTCTTCTCCTGAACTCAGGAAATAGAAAATTATAAAATAAACCTAAGTAACTTCCTATGACATTATCATTTTCAACATATATGTAAATATATCATTTAGACACTTAACTGCTCTGTAATAATTTTAAAAAAGCCTGAGCTTTATTTTAATTAATTACCTTATATAAAAGGCAACTAGCAAACCTACCTTCAGTTTGAAAGTTTCTTCCACTTGTTTCTCGTACTTTTCATCCCAACGAGGAAAAAACAGGTTCAATTTCTGTACAATACTATATGCATCCAATTCTGTCAGAAGTAATCTTATAAGTTCCTGTCAATTTGAACACAAAGAAAAACAGCACTTTAATTAATGTAATTCAAATCTTTAAACATGTTTACTTCATCTTTAAATAAAACTTCTTTTATGTTGGTAAGTTCTTCCTATAATTTCATAAAGTAATTTTGTTTTCACTTTTGTCATGTTATTAGGGACCCTTTAACCAACCAAGTCATGGACCCAAAAGAAGATTGGTGCATAAACAGTTAAGATAAAATGTGTTTAAAAGGCCAAAGGAGTACATATGAATTCCACTGTGGTTCTATGTATAAGAAACATTAATCCATGTTTTCAATCTGATAAGTCAAGAAAATAAACTAATTATAATTATTAGTCAATGTGATAGGATAAATATGAAATGCCCCCTTCCCCAAAAAGTTCTTTACATGTAACAAAATTGTGTAGAATTTCACAAAACAAACAGCAGATCTGTCAGTATTATTTAAAAGCTGAATTTGTAACAAAAATAACTAAATTTATTTAACATGTATAATGTATACACACACTATAAAGTTTCTGCCACTTCATGTATCAAAGAATCCAACTCTGAAGCTTTTATTTCTGTTCAAATCAAGTTTAATTTCATTCTCACGAACAGAATAAATATAAATACCAGGATAAAGGAATAAAGTTTCTTATGTAAAATATAATTCGAGTAGCTTTCTTATACACCTTTTATCTCTTACAAGAGAACCAAATACATGGTATATTAAAAACACTAATCTCATCCCAGAGAATACGTTAACCTTCTTACTCCCAAATTTACCATTTTTATAAAAAAAGCAGAACAAGCAGTTCCTCTTGCTAAACACAAATATTCTTCACACAAAAAATAAGGCATCTTATATTATTAGCCAGGGTTTTTTGGATTATTTGATTAAAAGAAAAATTGAAAGTCTAGTTCACTTTAAGATAATGTTTTATTTCTTTTCTTCAAATTCCATGGTTAAGAGTAACATTTACCAATAGACCTAGCTTCACAAAGACACTAACAGAAATTCCACTTACTTGCTAATTTTCTCTTCTTTACCAAAATACAAGCATAATATTCGCAGCACTGAGCTAACTAGCTTAAAGACTTACTAACTCATTCTTATATATTGCTAAAATTACTTCCTAAACTTTGGAGTTTCAGACATAATGAACATTACAATAAACCTCCTTCCAACTAAACAACAATACAAATTTCTAAAAACATCTACATTAAAAACATAGGTTACAAAAAAATGCAAATACTTTCCAAATTCTTCACTGTTACTTTTAGAATTAAAGAAACATTCAGTACAATATCTATCTTACACAACAATCATGGTATTACCAGCAAACGTGGATAACTTAAGACTTGCTATACTTATTGCCCAATAGATATTGAACAACAAAAGTCTTAAACACACCTATGAAAGAAAATATTTGGAGCCATTATTCCTCTTCCAAACTTCTTTAAAAACCATTGCAACTAGAATCAAATATTCATTTGATTTGATTAATACCTAGATATATGTTTTTTTTAATTTTCATTCTGTAATTCTATTTAACTTACTAAGTTAAAAGGTAATGGTAGAGTTTAAAAAAATGCATTTATTGCATATATTATTATTGTGATATTTGCAGATAAACTGTTTATTTCATCAAATTCCATAAAAGCTACAACTAACAAGAGGTTTGACAGAAAATGTTACATCTTGGTTTTGATGGAGTCTAGAGTAAATTGTTAGTTTTAGTTCTTGCATCTCAACTGATGATGCCAAGTAAAAGTGGTGAAACACCGTAAACAAAATCAAATCTTTACTCTGTACAACTGATAAAACCTTGTGGAAAACAATCTAACACTTCAAACAAAATCACAAATAAAAAGTGTGTAGACAAAGAAAGTTCTAGGCATCTTTACTGGCATTTTTGAAGATCTCTATAAAGAAGAAAATTACTATTCCTGACGAAGAAAAAAAAAAATTACATTATATACACAGTTCTACAATGCTAATCTTCTCAAACGTATACGCTACTTACATCACTGTTGGTCATTCTAACTGAAAAAGAAGATGGAATCTTCAATAACCGCAGCACTTGAAATTCTTTTAGGCAGGATTAAAGAAAATTAATCTATGAAACCTTCGTTTTCCAATTTATTAGCTATATGTTTGTGCACCAGAAATACCAAGCATGAGGCTTGCATGATCTCTCCCAGCCTCCAATCAAATTGAAATTCTTTTAGACAGGATTAATACAAATTAATCTATGAGACCTTGGGCATGGTCAAATACATCAATTGAAAGGGTTTGATTTCCTGAGTCCAAAACTGTAATTAGATCTCAAATTGGTCAAAAGATGATGGAGCTATGAACTAAAAGTTTGTACTTGAAAAAAAAAACTTAGAGCCATTCTACAAGCCGCAGCTAATAACAGAGGTTGTAACCTCAAAGTATCAAATGACCCACCACTGGAATTGTCACTCCCCACCTATAAATAATATACAGCAATCTTTCCAATAAAAATGAACATGATACCATAGGTGAATGACCCAAAACAAAGGGTAACTAGGATAAAAGCATGAGTGAAATTCTGCCTGTACTCACCAGTACTAAGAACTGAAACATATTTTTTAAAGCAGTACTAGTACCAGAACATATTTGAGCTGCTTTATCATTTTTTTGTGTTTACACATAGAATTTTTTTCTTTTTCTAAAACAGGTCCACTTCACCCAGCTGAGTAACTCTATTTTTTTCTTTTTTTTTTGAGAATTCCACTCCTGGATAAACAGTCTAAAAAAATATGAAAGTTTGAGCAGACTAAAAACAACTTACCTCCTTGAAATCTTGGTTTGAAAAAGAGATATGGTGTCTGCAGATGCTAAATTGGCTGAGAAAGCCACTAGGGGGACATTCTAAGCTTCCGATTGGACATTCATGTCATATATAGAAGTAAGTATATATAAGGGAGCGTTTCTAAAAATGAAAAGAGTTGGGCAGGGTGCTACTGAGTTTGGTTTATTACATGAGCAATATCTTAGCAAATTGAAAAGATAAGAAGCTCTTATTTTATATAATAGCTTATCAATATCGGTAATTTGAGTTTCTAATTTGTTCAAAACTATAGACTTAGTATTTTGACTTTACAAACATCTAATTTGAACAAGTGTTGCAGTCAACATACCACGTGACACACAAAAATCGATGTTTAACTGTGTTTTTTTAATATTTACTTTTGAATTAAGAAACTTAGTAAAGTAAAATAC